TTGTGAACTCTAAGGAGAGGTTATGAGATCAGAAAAATACAGTAGTAAAAATTACTTGTTAAATACGTGGGAGTCCTATCCCAAGTAATCGAAGAAATAAGAATTGAAGAACGAGACCTCACAGGAGAATGAAACTGTTATAACACCGCAAATGGCAGAAAGGAGTGAAGGAAAGAAACAGCCGGGAAAGGAAGATTTGTACTAGAGCAGGGGGATCCAGTAATAATGAGAAGTCACTAGGAAGTATTATGAAAAGGACAGAAATACTGAGGACATTTGGAGGTCCACAAGTGGCGAGAGGAAACTGGAATTTCAGGTGGGGAAAGGCCTTTAAGGAGTCAGAGTTTCCAATATCCATCCCAGGTCAAACTTAACACTAGGACTTCTTTTCCTTCCATGTTCCACCGAGGGAACTGAGCAACAAGCTCAACACTTTCTTAAATAGCCACAAGGTGCTTAGCGTGAGCCCCAACAGAAACAATAGGCCATCCAGCAGGTTCTGAACATGCCAAGGCTGTTGAAAGGCCTGGGGCTTTAGGTCTGTTCCGCTCCCTGTTTGTAGGATGTGGCCAATCCAGCCGACCAGGCACTGGGTAGATATCAAGGGGTTTGAGCGCCTTATGACTCTGGAAGCCATTGCTCCAAACTTGTAAGTACCTCTTGTTTTCTATGACTTCGTTCATTGAGAGTGCAAATGTCTCTGCCTTGAGTGTCTGTATCTGAATAGAAACACCAATTTTTTTTGCTTCTACTCAGACCATGTTTTCAGGTTGGACTTCAAAAACAGTAATCATCCATCACTCTATGCTGGATGGCCTCCTTTACACTATTCAGTCCCCCATGGGTGATAAACAGATGGATGCTAGGATGAGCTGTTGCAAAAGAGAAAGATGGTCCAAGATTTCAGTAAAAAGTTCAGATAATAGGTAAAAGAGCAGAGGCAAGAAATACCAGTAGAAACTCAAACTGCACTGAAAAGAATGCCACTTTTCTAATCCAGTATGGTTTCCTAAGTGCATTCTAAAGCATAGATCTAGCTCCTTATTAAAGAATCTTCTTTGGAAGCACACAGAGACCATTTCAGAAAGCTACAACTAGTCAAAATGTATAGAACTGTTGACTGTGGAGATGTCTGGCTCTGACTGATACACCTACAACACATTTTCTGCACTTAAAGCTCTGGACACATCCCAGATAAGCGAATGGCAAAATCCTAAGAGCCAGGGAGTCAGGAAGTTCTTATAACTATGATAGGGAAATTTTGAGACAGCATCTCACTGTGGCACAATGGTAATTCTAGAATTAACTATGCAGAAGAAGCTGATAGAACAAACAGAGATTCAATGACTTCTGCCTCTCAACTCCTGAAATTAAATGTATATGCCATCCAGTCCCATTTTATATATTATATATATGTATGTATGTATATGTTTGGTATTGGATAACCAGTTAGGGCATCCCTAGGGAAGACTAATTCTCCTTCTCAAAGCAACCCTTAGTTGTGTTTCCTTTTCACATAGAAATGATGGGCATGACATGTTCCCCATCCATACTGGGTTGTCAACTGGTATTATCATTTTGCAGTTTTGTTCAAGCAGCCATATTATTGAGGTGTACTTTACTAGATTGTTGTATCATACATAACTTCATTTTCTCAGTAGTAATTCAGTGAGAATTATGTTAATCTCTCAAGACATAGTAGAAAATTCGAATATGTCACATGGACCATTTGAACTTGAGGCAAATGGAGTGAGGGAAGGGAGACATTTGAAATGTAAATAAATAAAATAATCAAAACAAAGCAAACAACAACAAATCTTAGTACCAGGCATGGCATGAGAAACTTCCTTTAAATTTCTTGGTCTAGGGAGCAAAAGAGACACCCAAATAAATATGGACTATTTCTGTTGCCTTTGTTTGCCTCCCAGAGATGAAGCTAAGTCTCTATTGGTAAAGGCATTTTGCACTTCAAACACAGAACTCAGAGGATCTGACCTTAATCTGACTTGAAAGTTTCTCTGATAAGTAAGTCCCATAGCTCTAGAAGAAGTTGTGCATGTTGCAAAGGCAGGGGAACTGGCCGGGAGTCCTACCCAGCTGTGAAGCCTATGAACCACAGTAACCAACATGGCAAGATATTCCTCAGGTATAAGAGTAACACCTCTCACATCTACCTCATTGGACATAAAGCATGCTAAACAAAGGATAAATTGTTTCTGGTACTAGAAATCTAGACCACTGTCCAGAGATAATGTGATCATGAATCTTAGAGGAGCAACTAAGACCTTCATTTTCCTACATAGCCTTAATTCTTAATAGCATTATCAATATGTATCCTTATATTCACAGATAAAGATATCCTTAATATCTACCAGGAAAACTTCTCTTTAAAATATAGAGACCAATACAGAAAACCATAACTGGTCAAAAGCAGAGAGCAACTGATCAGTGGGTGCACGGACCAGTGTATATAATCACAACACAACTTCTCTATGTAATAGCCTAGGAATAGCATGCAAATGGGGAGCAAATGATAGTAAGACTCAGAACCATCTGCTATGAGATGCTCTTCCAGGGAATCCTCATCCATGATACCTCAAAATTATAGCCAACTAAATAAGAACTTAAGAAGTCCAACACCAATAGATATGCTAGAATTGAAGAAGAGTGACTCATGCTTGTACCACCCAGAATCAAATAGCTGCAGGCAACTAGAGAATTCTGAGTGTGGAAGAAATATTCTTTATCCAGGAAGACATTTCCTAGTTTGATGTCAAATATCAAATGGTCATTTCTGAAGTCATGTACTGTTGGAATCCAGCCTGGGCAGGGTTAAGAATCTGAAGGAAGATGTATGGAATAGATGAAAGTCACTTTGACCAAGAGGTATAATTCACACACTATAGCATTGAGACAACTCCAGCCACTTTTATTTATACACCTGTTTTTCTCAGATGTAAAACCTTTACATTCATTTTCTAGTGTATAACTTCTTTAAAGAACTTCCTACATTTAAAAATAATGTGCACACTGGAATTTTTCCATTCCTTCTTCCCCTCAATCTCTACAGTTTCCTGCTAACCCATGATATCAAGGAAGATTAAGTATAGCTTCAGCAAGCGGGTGGAATCTAACCCAGCACATTGGTACATAACCAAATGACAATAGTTGGTAGCAACTGTGGATCCAGTATAGAGAAATGATAGATTACACATCCAGGAAATTCTGATTTAATTATTGGCACCGATCATCTCCCAATATTCTAATCAGGAGATCTATTTCTTCTAATGCATGATTTCTCAGTAAATTATTAAACTGAGTCAGTTCCTCGTTCATGCTTGGCTTACTTCTGAATATTCCTATTAGGTCTTGGAACCAATGGTCCATCAAGACATTCTAACTTTTTGATAATTATCTAATTGTTTTCTGAAACAGGCTGGTGGACATATTGTTGTTAGAACTAAGTTCCCATCAGAAGAGAACACGCAGGCATTAGCTGATGTACCCAAACCAAGGCCTACTGTTGATTCGACTGCATCACCTTCATTAACAAATGGAGTAGTAGAGTTCTATTTCACTCCCATTGATCCGCAGAGACAAACAAGAATAAATCATAGTTCATGACTTCTTTTTCTGATTCTGGGGAAGTGCCAGTCAAATTAAAAAATGAAAGTAAAGACTTCCATGAACAAAACCAAGAAGGCAGACAAAAGGCAAAAATGAGGCAATCTTTCCTGAGGAAAGACTAGGACATTCTGCATGAATATCCCTAAAGGTCTTTGCCATGTAGGGACTCAACTCCGCAGGTCTAGCCATAAGGAGAACAGTCCGCAGCACACTCATGCACCATTCCAGCAGAGGCTTAGTCATCTTCAATGTACATTCACACAACGCTGACCAGTCTCAGCAGGTTGACTATCTCTTTCTCTCTCCTTCCCTCAACCCCCCTCCGTGTGTGTGTGTGTGTGTGTGTGTGTGTGTGTGTGTTTGTGCACACATGTGAAAATTAAAGACAAGAACACAAATTTAAGAGGTAATGATGGGGAGCAGAATGTGAAAGAATTTGAATGAATGAAATTAGATGAAGGAAAATTATTTAACTTTACATTTTGATAAAAGTTGCCTATTATATTTATCTTAAACACTATTTTATAATATATTGTAAGAGGTTTTCTCAAGTATTTTAATACAGTTTGCAACTGTTAGTATATTAAAAATGACTTTAATTAGCTATGGAATAATCTCTAAATTTCTAATAAATTTACTTAATCTTTTGCCAAAATATGTTTGCTATCCATAGTAGGTAAACTCTTGAACCCACAAGTCACATGCAAGATTATCTATAGCAGTGTGTTTGTGTAAAATGAAGTGTTGGAATGTACTAAATTATCATTGTGACCTATAGAGGCCATAAGCAAGTAACAGTAAAGGATTGTTGATGGCAGGCCAAAAGCAACTGAAATACATATATGTGTTATAGTGGTATAGACCAGAAAAGGTCATCTATCTGTAGAAATGGATAGGCAGTTGGAGATATTAAAATAACCAAGGGGTGCTATACATACCTGTGGTAGGTAGTTATAGGATTTTATTTTTCAAAAATCAACTTTTGGATCCAAAAGAATAGTTTGATGACAGTTTTGCATTTTCAGCAATGAGATTCTCTGTAATTTGTTAAGCTCACCTCCTATTCTTTGCACATTCATTCTTTATTTGGTATACATTTGCTATTTAACAACTCTCCCTTTATTTTTTTACATCTATTTATCAATTTTTATTGATTTTTTTATGTTTTAAACATTTTATATTCAGTTACAGACTTATTCTTATATTCAATTTTCATTACATATCTTTTAAATATTTTATAAAATCTTAACATTTTGCTTAATATCACTAAATATATCTTAGACGAACTTCAGAAATTAAAATCTACTAATTAAGTAGATTTTATTCATTTGTTTGCATCTTCTTCAACTTGAGTTTTATTTCTTTTCTTTCAGCATTGCGACATTGGTAAACATGACAAATAAAACAGGTAAATTAATTTAATCATTACACAGGATTTCTTTTGCTTCTATTTGATTTTCCTTGAATGGGAGAGTTTGAAGTAGTGGTGTGTGTGTGTGTGTGTGTGTGTGTGTGTGTGTGTGTGTGTATTTTAGTGTGTGTGTATTTATATTTTGGAGGTATGTTAAAATAAAATAATTTTACAGATACAAATGTACATATATTTAAATGCAAAAGAAAGGATAGTCTTACCAATGTAAACAAGTTCTCATTGAAGTAAACATATATTCTGCTTGATATACCAATTACCAAGTATCTGGTAAATTATTTGTTTTGAAAGTTTTCATTATGCGAAGGAATGGGAGTGGACTGTCTCATGTCTTGAGTTTATTAACTATATGAGCGTTACTGCTATCTGATCCTGTTGCTTCACTTATTTTAGAGAGCTGCCTATGGCTTCTGGCTCCACTAAAGCAACTGAGCACTTGATCCCTGCATTGTAATATGCCCATCAGTCTTCTGTCTTCCAGAAACATTCTAATCCTTTGACTGTGATACTTCTCAGCGGCTGGTCTTAGAAATGACTGAATTGTTAATTTTACTATCTCCATACTGAACACTCTATGGAGTTCCTTTATTTATTTATTTTTTTGAGAACAAATTTAATGAGATTTCTGACTCTAGTATCTGAAACCTTGCGAGAATTTAACATTTTCTTTCATAAACAAAGCAATTCACTTCTTTCAAGTCTGTATCAAAGAAATGTTCCCAAATTCTTGAATGTATATATACTTCCTAAATTGAGTTAAATTCTCTGTTCTCCAGTAATTATGTGAATCTCTAAAGATATTTTATATAGAGAATTCAGGAAAATATAATTTTTAAACTGGAAAAGTTGATACATTTAAGTAATGTACTTATTAAGAACAACATATTTCCATGTGTTCTATTCCTGAAAGAAATCAAATATAAAGATAGTTAATGTAATAAAAGTATGAAAATCATAAGTGGGAAACATTACAGATTTTGAAAAATAATTTTAAAAATTAGTTGGAAAATAAATACAAAAAAAATACAGATTTTATTTATTTTTAAGTACTGGATAATGAACTCAAGACCTTTACCCACAGTGAGCAAATCCTCACCATCTTTTACTAATTAATTACCTCTGCACACGATGTGGACTAAGCCCTAGCATTGAGTCTTACTTAGCTGAGAATGCATGCCTTTGTGCCCCTGAAACCCATTGCTGTCATCTGAAAGACTTCTTCTGTTCTCTTTGCACAGTAACATGACTTCAAAATAATTAGTATTCACATCTTATGCGCACTAAACCATTGGTGGTAATTTTTCTAAATCAGTTAGGAAATATAGCACTCATACATTCTTCATCTTTCATTTCCTACCTCGTAATAGAGAGCTAACTTTACAATTAGCATCTTAGTCACTGCAGGATTCTTGTCTATGTCTTACTTTACTGGATTGCTGTATCTTACATAACTTACTTTTCAAGCAGTGATTCCGTGAGAACTTTGTAAGTCACTCAAGTCATAGCAGAAAGTTTGAATATGTAACATGGATCATTTGAACTTGAGGCAAATGTACTGAACACAATTTTCATTTACATAAGAAGGTTACGATGAAATTATTCTGACATCTAAATGATTTAATAAAAACAAAGTATATGCCTTTTAGTATAAAGTTTGATGAGGTTCAAAAGTTTGCCCCAAGCAATTTTCAAAGTTATATTTTGGGAGACCTATTGAATTTTTTTTTAACTGTGATATTTCTTTTCACAGACTATGGCCTACTGAACATTGAAAAAGTAGAAGCAGAATCCTACAATATTTCAGAAGAACTTTATATAAGCATAAACCCAATATGGTCTGATGTCCACCACTCTTACCTTTTCACCACAAAGAAGCATGAGACCCCACAGGGCTAGTGATACACCAAGAACAGAGTCCTCTATGTGTTGACCCAGGAAAATCCAAGCAGATATGACTGAAATGTCCATTAAAAACACTGTCACTAAGTTCACTTAGAAGTGTTCTAAATCAACCAGCAGATATTACCTTACTTAGGTTTTATTCTTGTCATTTGTTACACCGAACAATTTGTTTAGGACATGCAGCAATTAGAAGTCAGTCAAAAACCACATTCACTGCCAGAATAAAAGCCTAACAATAGTTATTTTGGGCAATCCTTAATATTATATTTTAGTCTAGTTACCTATTCTGTACTTTGAAATTATAAACAAATAATTTTGAATGAATGCGTACTCAGATAAACTGTCCTTCCTATTAAAAGAATGACTTATTTTCTTGAATAAATGTTCCCAACTTAAACGTCCATTTTATTTTTCTAACGGATATGGGTTATTATATGAAACAAACAAAACTCTCAGGAGGATTTATTCATGATGTTTCCTTGGGGAAATGACTTGAATGGCAAAATCTACAAACATTTAATGATGAAGTTAATGAGATATAGAATTTATGTAGTATATGAATGCAACTAAAAAAAATAAAAACAACCTTTTATCAGAAACAAAGAGCTCTGTCTACCAGAACTCTTGGGAAAACAACTGTGTATGTTTTACATAATCCACAGTCTTTAACAATAAGAAAGGCAACATTAGCTTTAAAATATTCAGGATACAGGATAAACACAAGTATTTTATCTCTTCTGTTACTTTTTGTGCTCGTTCTATGCAGAATAAACTGAACTTGAACAAGGGTATCATTATCAATATATTGTATAAGTATACCAGAAAGAAATAATATATGTAGTTTCCTCCTGCTGTATTATATAGAAAAAAGTCAATTTGTTCATAAGTAATGAGCAACAAAATCTCATAAAGATTAACAAATCACAACAACAAATCAAAACCTAGTATACCCAAAACGCTTAATAAAAAATAAACCCACAAGTATGAATTCGAGTATTTTCCAAGCAGTCTTATATTATTCATCCCCTACAATATTTCTGTTATGTTGTTTTCATATGTGTTCTTTCAGCTACATACAAATACAGACTCCATATGAAATACATAAAATAGATAATCAAAATGTGACAGAAAAATATTTTTAATACAAGGAATAAGATCATAGCACAGAAGATGCTGACTGTGATAAAGATGTATGTTATCTATACATACACACAAATATATATATATATATATATATATATATATATATATATATATTCTTTAAATTCAAAAGGAAAGATTGAAATTAAATTAAATTTTGAAATAATATCACCTCCCTGGAAATAATTTTTAAATTAGATAAATTAAAATATAAAGTATAAGTGCTTTAGTCACAGATAAATAAATTATAAATCCTAGGATGAAGG